ACTATGAATTCCGGCCAGGCAACCTCTATATTTACGATAGATACTCCTGGTCCCTCTTGAAGGTGGTTTTTAATTGGAGGTTAGATTAAGTTAGACAAGTGATGTTTGATTTTGCAAACGTAATAGTTTATAAAACTTTTGATTCCTCAGATGAGTCTCTCAGGAAGAGTTTGTTGTACTGAACAAAACTGGATATGATAACATGTTCTTTTATGGGATAATTTAAGGATGGGTTTCTTGTATGAATCTTATAATATCAGATCTCAAGATTTCAGGCCTTGATGTCCTTCTATAGGAAGTTTGATGACTACTTAATCCTTCTGTTGAAGAGCGTCCAAGGCCCTAAAGCTTGAAATCCAATAGTAAAAAGATTTATACAAGAAACCTATCTCTGGATGATTTTTTATGAATATTTTGATACGTGGATTCATGAATTTTTTATTTTATATGCTTTAATTTTCAAGACTTATTTCTAGAGATCATGCTTTTCAAAACTGCTGAATAACTTCTTCGATTACTTCTCAAGGATGATCCTGGCCATCCAGATACCTATGCTCTCTCTTCTCGAAGTCGGTGGATGAATATTTTACCCTTTCTTTATATTTCCTTGGAGATAGGTGAACTGATTTCAACATGGCTAATAGTGTATACTTTTCTATTTTACGATGCATTAGCGCGTCATCTGTTATGAATATTAGAAACTATTTAAGACGCGTAAGATTCTTTTTGAAATTAAACATTTTTACTACCCTTACTGCAATGAAAAAAATTAATAGGAGGGCCTGGCTCATCAGTGGTGAACCCTCCCAGCGGTTTCGCCAGTTTAATCTACCATACCGCTGTTATATTGCATTTTTCTATCTTTCTTTTATAGTTATACTGTTGCTAGACTCTTGGAATTGCAGTAAGGGCAGTAGAAATTGTTTATTTTCAAAAATAATCTTACGCGTCTAAAATAGTTTCTAATACTTATCTATTTAGAGGAAGGAGTTTCATGATTTTTGTGTTTTCTATCTGATAAGAGTGGATGAGATTTTCTCTATTTTTCCTCTCGTTAGTTATAAATTTTGATCTCTTGATATATAAATGATGAATTTCAAATTCTATTACATCATGGTGATCTTCTGGGATCCTTGGCTCCATGGATCCTTCTTTTACTAAATTAATTGAACTCTTCGTTCCCAAGGATCTCCACATGTGAAAGTTTGCATTATAAGGATATTGTAGTTTTTATTTCCGTTTTTAAAAATTTCTTTGGCGATATTTTGAGAAACCAGTTTTTTGTATTGTAGAAGCCATGGATATATAATATCTGAATATAGCAAATGATTAAACTATTGTAGTTTTATAATAGATTTAATCATAGAAATATTGTAAGAGATATATAGAGAGAGATATTTTAAAATTAAACGATGTTTTAGAAAATATTAGTTTACACAGTCAAATGTATAGAACGTTTTTTTACACGATAGATATCTCTTTTAATAAGCCGCATTATATTGTATTAGAGATTAACTTTATATAATATTTAAAAACGGAAAAATATGTCCCCAGGGTAGCCACAGTGAACATGGCATCTGCCCGGTAAGCGGAACACTGTGGGTTCGGTTCCCATCCCTTGGACACTTTTATTTTTCCGTTCATTACTCTTTACAATTCATCCTAACATACTTCATCCCTAAGGATAGAAATAATCGTTATTTCTCCTTAAAATAAATTACGATTTTTCGTTCAAAAGAAACATTTGCGGTAAAACTTGCCAAATGCCGTTTTACAATCATAAGCCGCATTATATTGTATTATAAAATAGCTTTTTAGTTGAAGAATTTTGAATATTTATAGTGTTAACGGATTTTATAAATGAAAAAATAATGTTTTATTCAAATGTGACCTATCATTTAACAATAAACGGGATATTTTTTTCAAATTTGGTGGCAAAATAAAACTCGTCCTTCTGTACCTACAGCTCTCATCAAATATAAGAAAACATTTCATTCTTTACAATCTTTCTAAACGACAGTTTTTGTTAAACCAAAAAAATGACCTGATTTCTTTCTAAGCCAACCTATAATGAAAGAGCTCTTTAAAGAAGAAAAAAACAAAGGAAAAACATAAAGAATTATTATTGTTTTTGGGTAATTTCTTATAGAAGGCTCTATTTTACATATATTTACATATATAAAAATAATAAAAATATAAAAAGGTCATATGTAAATATTTAAAACAAAAATGGCAAATCCTGACCGCTCATGTTGGCATTTTAGATGGCAGAGTGCCATCTACTGGAACAAAAAATAAGCTAACCATTGATTTAGGCTTGTTCAATGGTATTCGACCAACCCATTTTTCTTTATTATTAACGTACGCGTTTCGGGCTGTTGGCTTCGTCAGGGTAGTGAAGGATGTACCTCTGCAACCAGATATTTGGTCCTAAAGGTTTCCTGTGGAATCAATAAATGGGTATTTAAGGCCAAATTTGCGTATAAAGTTGATCATGTAATAATAATAAAAATAATATATTACAGTTAGAGAATTATTAAAAAACTAGTTTCAATTTATCTAAATCTATTGCGAATCATAATATTGAACTTGAAATTAAAAATACCTTTTGAGAAATGTGTTATTAGAGTCTCACATTATTTTACAATTGCTCCACCTTGGGGGCAATATTTCGTTAAATATTCATAAAATTATGAAGAATAACGCCATACACACATTCTTTATTGTATTTTATGACCCAAATGAATATTCGCGTGTGCCTGCAATTAGGAATATTTGCATATTGTAGCGTTGGCCACAGCTATGCATATTAATGGGTCTGACCTGGCTAAGATTGCTTCAGCCCACTCATGACTTACATCATTGGCGTGAACTATTCCTTCCGGGTGAGGCAGGGTGGAAAAAAAAGGTGTGCCACCGTCACACTTAGCTCACTGTTATCACAGTGGGAACATGCCGGAACTAAAGAGTTAATTGGGTTATAAAACGAGAGGATATATCACCATGACATCTATACTTGTACCATGGGAACCACCCATATGATAAGAATTAACTTCCATGAATGAAGGTTTATTGATATTCAATTATATAGATGGAAATTTTGCCGGGAGGATATTGATCTAAAGAGACAAAGGTCGCCTCTCCCGTCAAAATAGACGTCAAAACTAGACGCCATCTATTTTTGACGTCTATTTTGACGGGAGAGGCGACCTATACCTCTTTAGATAAATATCCTCCCGGAAAAATTTCCATCTATATTTTAGCCATAGATTTGGCCCAGCCACTTTGCCAGCTAAACACCACTTTGGCAGATTGTCAAGATTCCATTAGATCCCGTGTGAATCTCATGGAATAAAGTCCGCCCTAAACTTACGAGGGCAATTAGCCCGAAACCATGGTCTCTAGGTGGACGCTTTTCAGTTTGCCAAAGCTGGTGTTGTGGCTTTGTCACCGACCCGAGGCCGCTAGTTTGCGGTGACGGTCCATAGATGGAGTCTAGTTTTGTCGTCTTTTTTGACGGGAGAGGCGACCTTTGTTTCTTGATTCAATTATATATATTCATTATAATATAGATTCTTCCCTGTTTTTATACTTTGATACAATTGATAAGTTTTTATTATAGGGTGAAGATCAATAGTGAAAGTTATTTTATAAGAAATTGCACTTTATATATTTAGATATCTTTAAAAGAAAAATAAAAGATACGAAATTTTATGCTACTATAAATATTTTATTATTTCACTATTCTTACCCACATACACATTATAAACAAAGCCTTTTATAATCATAATATACCTTCGATTATATCGAATCAAAACATAGTAAAGTAATAATATATCACGGATATATTATCTTTACACAAAACAGATCAACAAACAATAAGGAATCAAAGGTTTCGTTTCGTTTCTTATATATTTTATTTCTCAAGTTTCCGGGCCAACATGCCCTTCAACACGAAGAAAAGAAACGAAACCTTTGATTCTTTATTGATTAAATCAGTATATCCATTATGCAATAAAAAAAAATGACTTGGAACTGGAACACCATTTTCTGTTTAAAATTAAAAAGTGAGGAGGGAACTTCTTTTACCAAAAAATGGATCATCTTTCTCTGGAGGCTCTGCTGTCTAAGACGACAAAGAACAAATCCAATACATTGACCCTGTGCAAGTTTTACAGGGCTGCGCAAGAGAAGAAACATTGAGGAAAGAGAGCCGTATGTGAATGAATATGTAAATAAACGATCACCTATTAGTAACTAATAATTTCTGGGCTCTATCACCTGGGCGAATATTGTGTAGGGCATAGGTCCCCAATAAAAGGCTTGTTAATGTTGTTGTTGTTGATATTCAACTATATCACTTGACCTGTTCTAATTCAGATTAAACGACCATTTTCAGAAGAAATCCGCAATATGTATTTTGCACGTTATCTTAAGGAATTTTCTCCTTCTTATATATATATGAAAAATAATAGGAAAAATAAAAGATCAGAGGTGTTGATATTAAAAATGAAGAAGACATATCCTGACCAGGAGCACAAAAATATGTTTTTTGCTTATCCCTGGTACACGTGGTACAGATCATGATATTCGAGGTGGGTAGAAGTAGGCGACTGCTTTTACTGTAAGTGCACCATGTCTACAAATGTGAAAATCAGTTCAACTTTTCACTTACAAATCTGGCAGTGCTCCGTTTGGTTACTTGCACTCGCTGGTGGGTTTGGACTTTTGCAAGAATCGGGGGCCATTGGAGCATTTCTTTTTCCAAATCAGAAAAAAAGTGTCCAATGCGGGAATCGAACCTGGGTCGTAGTGTTCAAAAACCAACGGACCATTCTTCCACCGACCCCTCACAAAGAGAGTGTGAGGACGATAAAGAGCCCGCAGATGGCATTGTGCGAGGAAACGACCGAGTTATGAGGGACGAAAGCTAAACGATCTGGAAAGGAAGAGTCCAGAATAGAACGGTTGAAGGAATACATTTCAAGGTCCGGTGACTCCATTTCAATACCTCTGCGCTGAATTCCATTTGCATAAACTCAAATCTTTCCCACTTCTTTTTATCCCCCTCTTTATTCCGGGTATATATCCTTAAGGATAAAAGCTTTTTTTATACCCTTTGGAGAGGGATAAGCTATTCTCATTTCAACATATAAATTTAAAACTATTATAGACGCGTATGATTCTTTTTAAAATAAAACAATTTCTACTGTCCTTACTGCAATGGAAAAATTAATGGGAGGGCCTGGCTCATCAGTGGTGAACCCTCCCAGCGTAAGGACAATAAAAATTGTTTTATTTTTAAAATAATCATACGCGTCTATAATAGTTTTGAATTTTACAAACAGATGGCCCGCTAATGCATCATAATATATAAATTTCATTATAATTTTGATGGGAAAACTATTCGTATGTGGAGAGAGTACTTGTCTTGTTTAAAAATACTCAGGTTTATTGTCTGAAACCATGGCATACAGGTTAGCTTTTGTCTGAACTTGCCAAAGCTGATGTTGTGGCTCTTTCATCTAAATATGTGCGTTCTATATAGAGGTTATAAACAAATATTTAGATGAAAGAGCGACAACATCAGTTTTGACAAGTTCAGACAAAGGCTAACCTGTATGCCATGGTTTCGGACAATAAATCTGATCATTACAGAAAGGCCTCGATTACGTTGCATCTTTAGGAAATATTTGTAAATATATATGTATACATATCCATTCTTAGCCATTTTCGGCTTAGTTCCTGATGTTTCAGTGACTCGCCTTCACAATCTTAAGAGGAATGATTATTTTGAATCTTATTTATTACTTATGTATTATGATGCATAAGCGCGCCATCTGTTATCAAAATTCAAAACTTTTATAGACGCGTATGATTCTTTTTTTAAAAATAAACAATTTCTACTGTCCTTACTACAATGAAAAAATTAAAGGGAGGGCCTGGCTCATCAGTGGTGAACCCTCCCAGCGATTGGAAAATCGTCTAAAAATATAAGAATAAAATAGAATTCAAAATAATCATTCTCCTGAGGAGAGTGACAACGAGTCACTGAAACGTCGAGAACTAAATAAAATAATTGTATATGTAGACATGTATATTCTAAACAAATTCCAGCCAACAAATGATCTTCAAAACCTACAGGAAGAGTAAGGAATTCAGTCAACTCTGCCCAAAGTGTTCTAGACAGTGATACAATCGGGCCGATCTTAAACAAGAATGCGTTGTAATTCTGCGGGAAGATGGTATTCAGAGAGAGAGAGAAACCCTATTTGCACATAAACTGGCAAAACCGTTGAGAGGATTCACCACTGATAAGCCAGATCCTCCCATTAAATTTTCAATTGCAGTAAGGGCAGTAGAAATTGTTTATTTTTAAAAAGAATCATACGCGTCTATAATAGTTTCGAATTTTTATAACAGATGGCGTGCTAATGCATCATAGCACATAGATATTGTTATTAGATTATAAAAAGGCATATATTGGATTGAATAAAATATTGGCAAATAATTTTTTTATTCAATACAATATATGCCTTTTTATTTTCTAATGAAATAAATATGGATTGCTCTATTTTCAAAAAGATATTGTTATGGTTAAGACACCTGTCCAGGGATGAGGT